CCTATGATCAATATGAAGCCATTAGAGAACATGATCCCAAATATTCTGAGTAAACCTGCAGCCAAATAAAAGGTGATTCAAGGATTCAACATCCTCACAAAAGCAACAACATGTATCTTCAATAAAGCCAATCTTATGAAGCCTCTCTTTTGTGGCCAACCTCCCGTTACAAGCTAGCCACATAATGAAAAGAGATCTCGGGAGAGCTGGACTATCAAACCAAATTTTCATCCAATCCACTTTGTCTCCTTCACCTTTTATGAGTTGATAAAATTGTCTAACAGGTTTTTTCCTGATGCAGAAGGTAGTTCCATGTTTGAGTGTCAGGAATCATTTGACTTTGTTTCAAAATAGCCTTGAATATCCAAGACCAATTAGTCTTGGCTGAAATTTCCGAAATTTCCTTTCCTTTCATATAGTAGCAGTGAATCCACCTTATCCATAAGCTGTCACTTTTCCTACTAATATTCCAAAAGAGCTTCAACAAGTAAGCAGCCTTCCAATCCTCCATATCAACTAAGTTTAAACCACCTTGATTCTTGCTAGTGCAAACCTTTTTCCAGGAAATTGGAGCTTTCTTAGAAATATCCCCACTACTGGCCTAAAGAAACGAGCGGCATCTAGCATCAATTTGCTTGATCACTTCCTTAGGAAGAGGAATCACCTGCATCCAGAAATTGGAAATAGCAAAAAGGGTGCTCTTAATTAACTGCAACCTACCTGCAGAGCTCATATGAGAAGACCATGATTGATGCGAACTGTGAGATTTTCCACTAGGATGTTGCACTGAGAGACATAAAGTTTCTTGCTCGATAAAGGGATGCCAAGGTAACAAAATGGCAGGATACCTTCTTTAAATCTATGATCCTGAGGATGTCTGCTTTCACACTATCATAAGTATTTCCAAAGTAGATATTACACTTCTGGGGATTTACAACAAGACCTGTAGCATTAGAGAATTAGTTGAACACATTCATAGCCAGCTGCACTGAAGTAGCATTACCTCTAGTAAAAACTAGAAGGTCATCAGCAAAACATAAATGAGCAATCTTTAGTTTATTACATCTAGAATGATCCTTGAAATTAGGATTGTTAGCAATATTTTCAAAAGATCTACGAAGATACTCCATAATTAACACAAGTAGGAGAGGAGATAAAGGATCTCCCTGCCTAAGCCCTCTTTTTGCTTTCAAAACTTTGGATTGTTTTCGATTGATGTTGTGCTTGTAAGAAACAGATTTAATGGTAAGCATAACCCATCTGATGAATTTATGAGGGAAACCAAGCTCTTACAGGATAACATTTAAATCATTCTAATCCATCGAGTCATAAGCCTTCTGGATGTCCATTTGTATAGTGCATCTAGGGGGTCTCCTTTAGAGTTGTAATCTTTCATCAATTCAAAAGCTGTCTGACTATGGTCCATTATACTGCTAGGAACAACACCCAACCTAGAAGCAAGAATCTTAGCAATTATTTTGTAGATAATTGAACAACATGAAATGGGCCTGTAGTCTTTCACCATCTTAGGATTATTCTCCTTGGGGATAAGAGTAACAATAATTCTATTGAAAGCAGGGAACAATTTCTCTTTTATGAAGAACTCAACAATAGCAGCATATACATCATGCTTTGTAAAACTCCAAGTACTCTTGAAGAATTTAGAGCCAAAACCATCTGCACCAGGAGAGGAGTTATCATTCATACTCTTTAAAGCCTGCTCAATCTCCTTGTTGCTAATGGGAACCACCAGATTATGCCTTTGCTCCATAGTCAGCTGTCTACCATTTCTCAAGGCCAATATACCAATACCTCTAAGATTATTAGAAGATTTACCAACCAGGTCACCATAGAAACTAAGGATAGTTTGCTCCAAATCCTTTTGGGAAGAGACAACAATACCATTATTATCCACCATAGACTGGATTTGATTGTTCATTCTTTTACTTTTCAACAAAGCATAAAAGTATGTTGAGTTATTGTCGCCCTGTTGAAGCCAATCAACTTTAGCCCTCTGTCTCAAGAGTTGATCCTCAAAATTATTCAAGAGAATAACCTTATCTGAACAAGCTTTAGTGATCAAGATTTTTTCAACATTCTTCTTATCTTGGGCAAGGTTATGCTGAGAAATTCTTAAATCCTCTATGGCAGCTTCAACTTGATGCCTTATCCCCATGAACCATTTGCTCTTATCTTTAATAATAGGTTGCAGTCTCCTTAATTTTCTCTAAAGAGAACCCATGCCATCACCTCTCATAGGAACATTGCAATTCTCTCTCACCGCCTCTCTAGACCCCTCCACTCCTGTGACAATATTTTGAAATTTAAACTGGCATTTGCTAGGCCTATGGCAGTTCAGACAGTCCAGACTCAACATAGCATGATCAGAGACTCCTTTTTCCAAAATTTTAAAAGCAAAATTATCACTCAATTGGAATCACTTCAAGTTAGCCAAAACTTTATCTATGTTAGAATAGATGGGATTGTCAGCTTGGTTATTGAACCAAGTATAATGCTCAATAATACTATTTTTTTTAAACAACTGCATATTATTCAATAAACTAACAAAATCACGATACTCAGCTTCCTGCACAACAGACCCCCCAAACGATCTTGGACATTAAGAACATTGTTAAAATCTCCCATTAAAAACCAAGGATCATGACTGCTAATCTGTAAATCTTCAATATCCTACCATAAAACTCTCCTTTGATCTAAGGTATTAAAAGCATAGATTCCTGTACACCATGTGCTAAGCTCATCCTTCATATTGTAAATCCCACAATGAATAAACTGAGCAGAGCAACAGACCATCTTGACTTTAATCTTATTAGCATCCCAAATCAACCAAATTCTGCCATTATTGTGCTTGCTATAGTTGTTAAGAAAAGACCATTTGGAACCAAATTTATTCCTTATCTTTATATCTTTATCATGTTTAACTCTAGTTTCCACCAAAATAATCATAGTAGGGTTCATGCTATTGAGGCGGGAGATAACTTCTCTGCACTTCCCAGAATTCTTCAACCCCCTAATGTTCCATGATATGATCATGATACTTTTTCTATTGACACTAGAGGATCATTCAAAATCCCTAGTGTCTCAAATTCATTCTGACATGAAATTCCAGATGTAAAAGTTCTTGTTCCAAGTTTACCTTTTCCTTTCCCACTGCTGCTAACTTCAGTCCAGGATGTTGAGCCAACCTCTTGGCTATCCTGGGGAGCTTCTTGTGCCACAGTTATTGGTTCCTCTCGCACCTTTTCTTTCTCCTTCCATTGTTTGATCTCTTTGCTCTTCTCACTATTACACTTATGCCCAATCTTCTGACACTTTTCACAAAACAGAGGTTTGCATTCATATTCAACCTTTTGCTGAATTTTGTTTCCTTCATGGTCCCTTATAGTGATGCTTTCCGTTTGCTTCTGAGTAATATCAAGTTTCAGTGATATTCTAGCATATGAAAATTTCAATTTATTTGTTATGCATTCATCAGTAAACAATGGATTACCTAGAACACTTCCTATTTTTCCCAAATTCTTAGCTCCCCACAGGTGAAGAGGAAGATGCAGTAACTTTAACCAGATTGGAAGAGTTCTTAACATATCTCTTTGGAAATTAAATTCTGGTCTTCAATCTTTGAGTATCATTGGCATGTTATAGATCATATAACCATTTCCTTGTCAGCAAAAGATTTGAAGCACAGAATGAAATACCCTTCTTCATGATAGAACATCTCTGACAAATTAATGAAATTCCAATACCTTGTCATAAATATCTTGACTGCATTCATGCTTAAGTCCTTTCCTATCACATACATTATTAGTGAGGTTTCCCAATATTTCATTTCTGTTTCCACATCTTCCTCCTCAATATCAACTTCTATTTCTCCTTCTACGATTCTAGACGTGATAAAATCAATATTCATTCCATTGGATGGAATACGATTACCACCGATAATATCTACGCATAACTTCATATTCTCTTGTTTATGTGTCTCCTTCTCTTTAAGGGCAGGTTTTTTTTAGGGTTTGGGTGATTACCTATTCTTCACTACTTTCCTCTGCCTGAACATCTTCCTCTACAATACTTTCCTCTGCCTGAACATCTTCCTCTACAATACTTTCTCCCTTCGCACTAGTTTCCGGCTTTTTAGCTATGGTAGACATGAAAGCGCTTTGAGTAGCCGCCTTGTTCTTCTTCGACCGACCTCTCCCCTTCTTCATCTCGAAACCACAGAAAACAACGAACCAACTTCAATATAGTCCTTACTCCGAAGAGCAGGAGTTTAAACCATATCGAAATACAAGTTCGCCGGCAAAATACACTAACTGAGCAGTTGAAAACGGACTTCACCGGAGATTCAACGGAACGAACGCAGGATATGATCGGATATCGCTGGAACGGATGCAAGACATGTTTTATTTTAATTAACGATTGATTTTATTTGAAACACATAATTTTTATTTTCAAATATTAAAATTGAGTTTAAATTATAATTATTTATTTTTATATAATGAAATAACTTATTTCAAATTTAAATATATATCTAAATAAAATCTATATCTTATTAAATAAATTTATTCCCGACGAATATTTTGCTAGTAATTCCAACAAATCCATAGTAACAGGTGGTCCCACAAAACGACATGATTGTTTTGTTTCCAACTTTAAAGAAGAAAAAAAAAACCAAAGTGAAACGGGTTGGTAGTTGAAGTAGTGGACGCTCAACCCGGCAGTGACCGGCCACCACCATCATCACCACCACCAGAAAGGAACACAACAAATGCTTTATTCTCTCATCTTTCTGTTACAGATCTCCAACCCACACCTTCTCCTCCCTCATCAAATATAACACATATTCATTCAGCTTCCACTCATTATAGATCAATCTTCAATCTTCATGGATCTACAAAAACAAAAACCCTAATTCAAATCGAATTGGAAAAAAAAACAATAACTAAATTAGGGTTTTGACTCAGAGCTTGCGCTACCCAGTAATGGATCAATGGTTCTTAGTAATGCTTTCAAATCTCCTCCATCTCCATAACTCCCTCGACCCAACCACCGACACACTCTCCTCCACCGCCACTTCCTCCGCCTCCTCCACCACGTCCCTCCTCCACTCTTCCTCCATCGCACCACTCCTCCTCTTCACCATGGCCTCCGTCCTTTCCCACGTCGCTTCCACACATACCCCATCCTCACCTTCCTCCAACAACAACAGCCGTCGTAACAAACGCCGCCGCAACAAAAACGCTTCCGACTACTCCGTTGCAGCTTTCCGTGCCCTCTCAACGGAACACATATGGTCTCTCGAACCTCCCCTCCGTGACGCTCAGTGGCGTTCTCTCTATGGTCTATCTTACCCTGTCTTCACCACCGTCGTTGAGAAACTCAAACCCCACATCGCCGTCTCTAACCTCTCTCTCCCTTCAGATTATGCCGTCGCTATGGTTCTCTCTCGTCTTGCTCATGGCCTCTCTGCTAAAACCCTCGCTGCTCGTTACTCCCTTGAACCTTACCTTGTTACAAAAATCACCAACATGGTCACGCGTCTCCTTGCCACCAAACTCTACCCGGAATTCATCAAGATCCCTGTTGGTCGACGCCGTCTCGTGGAAACCACGCAATCCTTTGAAGAACTCACCTCACTCCCCAACATGTGTGGAGCCATCGACTCTAGCCCTGTGAAGCTTCGTTCTGGTCCAAGTTCTAACCCCGCTACCTATCTTTCGCGTTACGGGTATCCTTCCGTTCTTCTTCAGGTTGTTTCTGACCACAAGAAGATATTCTGGGATGTTTGTGTGAAAGCTCCTGGTGGAACAGATGATGCTACCCATTTCAGGGATAGTCTTCTTTACCAGCGTCTAACTTCTGGGGATGTTGTTTGGGACAAAGTTGTCAATGTTCGAGGTCACCATGTTCGTCCTTATGTTGTTGGGGATTGGTGTTATCCTCTGTTGCCGTATTTGCTTACCCCTTATTCTCCAAGTGGGATGGGTACTCCTGCTCAGAACCTGTTTGATGGAATGCTTATGAAGGGGAGGTCTGTGGTGGTGGAAGCTATTGCTTTGCTTAAGGGAAGGTGGAAAATTCTTCAGGAGTTGAATGTGGGTCTTCATCATGTGCCTCAAACCATTGTGGCTTGTTGTGTTTTGCATAATTTGTGCCAAATTGCTAGGGAACCTGAACCAGATCTGCTGTGGAAGGATCCTGAGGAGAGTGGAGCTCAACCCAGGGTGCTGGATAGTGAGAAGTCTTTGTATTTCTTTGGGGAAAGCTTGAGGCAAGTTCTGACTGAGGATTTGCACCAAAAGCTCTCTTCGAGATAGTGACTTTTTAATTTGATGCCTTGTTGATGGTAAGGGTGAACCACCTCATGTAGATTTTTTGTTTTATTGAATAGAAGATTTTTTTTTCTCTTCTAAGATGTGTTTCATGTATTTTATGTTGAATGATTTTAGTAAAACCAGATGTAGAACTAGATTACAGGATTTGTGGATGTGTTTAACTGTAATGGTTCCTTGTCTTGTGGATGAGGACTAATGTACTAACATTAGATTTGAATGAAATGTTTGAGACAACTTTAACTTACTCTAATGGCAGGGTTTTCATCATTGAGTAAATTGATGCTTGGTTTTAGTATCCTTTTGTTGCACGTTATCATTGTGATGCTGCAAAGGTATAAAATTGTTTGTAATATGAATCTTATGAAACTGTATACAACTTTTGAAGTCTAAAAACATAGAAACTCATATGATTGAAGTAATCAAGTAAAAGTTTTTTTGGAAGTCAATTCAGCCAATAGAAACTCTTAAAGTGGTGAAACTGGAAGGAGATATTATCAGGGTTTAAAAATTAGAGAAATGGGATCACAAGTTTTTCACATGCAATTACTTCCTTTTTAAGTTACACTTTCTGTGGTGTTGGAAAATTGGCCGCACATTTGGAAGATGAATATACCTTAATCAAGATTTTTCTATGAAGGATAACAAGAGATATTCTTCCAACCTGGCAAAGTCTGTTAAGCTAAACAAGTGAAATGTTAATTACGAGATCTTAGCATGGAAAATGAATGGCATGTTTTCTTTGGATGATCAAAGGCTGTTCAAATTTGGGAAGCGGTTAGACTTTGGAATAGTATAAAAGACATTATGGAGATAGCAGGAGGATGTAAAAAGTTAAATTTTCAGCTATGGGAAGGTATTGAAAAGAGGCGGGCATGCTATATATACTTAGCTTGTGACTTAATGCATAACTGAGTTCAGGTCCAGCACAAATACAGTGTAGCTTGTGACTTAATGCTACTTGTACCTTCTTATTAAACCAAAGACACCAAAGTTATGATACAGGAAAGGCAGGCAATTCAGTCCCCATCGGCCAGATGCAGCAGACATATGTATCTGCCTAGGAACGAAGATGTGCTGTCAAGAGGCTCATCACATCCTCAATAAGCATGCAGAGTATTAAAGGCTTTATATCACGAGGGTTGCTCTTTCCACCCTTACATATGCTTCAAATATTTTTGAAAATCTAAAAAGTGTCCTTCATGCGTTTGGAGATTCATCTTCGAATGTATCCAAATCACACTAGAATGCGTTATTTTGAGAGCCACCATATTTTGCTGGAAAAATTTTGTTTGAAAATGCATGTCCGAAGATGTATCTTCGAACACACCTAATTTTTGGTAAAATAAAGGTGACTCAACAATTTGTATTGAAATGTGTGTAAAAAAGGTATGTTCGGAGATGTATTTTCAGACACACTAGACAATTTGTTTTGAAATGCGTGTAAAAAAATACGTCTGAAAATGCATCTTCGGACGCTATGGACATTTGAGACTTTTCACGGTAGTGAGAGAGAACACATAAGGGTGGAAAGAGCAATCCCTTATATCATTGAATTACAGTCCAACTATAATGACCCTTCTGACAGATGCAATAGACATGTGTATTGGCCTAGGGACGAAGAACATTTCAACAATAACAACTAAGTCGTATCCCACTAAGTGAGATCGGCTACATGAATTAACTTTTACCAAAATGTTCTATCAAGGACCATGTCTCTATCCAAATCATTATTCTCGAGATCTTTCTTAATAATTTCTTTCATCATCTTTCTATGTTTTCCCCTTCCTCTAATTGTTTGCCTTCTCTCCAACCGATCTACCCTCCTTACTATATAATCTATCGGTCTTCTTTCTACATATCCAAACCACCTAAGTGTATTTTCCACCATCTTCTTCATTATAGGCGCTACTCTCTCTCTCTCTCTCTCTCTCTCTCTCTCTCTCTCTCTCTCTCTCTCTCTCTCTCTCTCTCTCTCTCTCTCTCTCTCTCTCTCTCTCTCTCTCTCTCTCTCTCTCTCTCTCTCTCTCTCTCTCTCTCTCTCTCTCTCTCTCTCTCTCTCTCTCTCTCTCTCTCTCTCTCTCTCTCTCTCTCTGCTACACTTACTTTATTTTCGTGTTGAGTTTTAACCGCCCAACATTTTGCTCCGAACAAAATCGCAGGTCTTACTGCAATTCGATAAAAAGTTTCCTTCAACTTGAGCGGTATCTTTGCATCACATAAAACGCTTGATGCCCTTCTCCATTTCAACCACCCATCCAGCTTGAATTTGATGGTTTACATCTCGTTCTATTTCTCCATCATTTTGTATTACAGACCTAAGATATTTAAACTGTATGACTTGAGGAGATATCATGGTTTCCAACTTTCACATCTACGTTAGAAACACTTCTTATTTTGTTGAATTTAAATTACATATACTTTGTCTTACTTCTGCTTGGGCGAAAAATAAGTGTTTCTAAAACTCATTTCTAAGCTCTCATTTAAATCCTCCTTCGACTCTCCATGAAGGATTATATCATCTGCAAAAATCACGCATCTTAGTACTAGTTCTTGGATGTGTTCCGCGAGTACATCCAAAATTAAGGTAAAAAGGTAAGGGTTTATGGTTGAACCTTGATGCAAACCAATTGTAATGGGAAAATCGTCCATCTTTACACATTGTGTTCGCACACTAGTTGATACCCCTTCATACATATCTGAGATAACTCGAATATATACAATCCTAACCCCTTTCTTCTCTAGAGTTTTTTTTTACAAAATCTCTATAGCCACTCTATCATATGCCTTCTCCAATTCAATAAAAATTAAATGGAGATCTTCTTGGTCTATCCGATACTGCACCAACACACGTCGTAATAGATAAATCACTTCCATGGTCGACCTTCGACACATAAAATCAAATTGATTCTCGATGAGTTAAGTTTCTTTTCTTAATCTCCGTTTAATCACTCTTTTACATAACTTTATTGTATGACTCATAAGTTTAATCCTCTTATAATTTGCACAATTTTGTATATCCCCATTGTTCTTATAGATTCGAATTAAACTGTTTCTTCTCCATTCATCCGACATATGCGTTTTGACCTCGTAATTTCATTAAAAAAAGTTTGGTGAGTAACTCAATACCTTTATCTCTAATAATTTTTCACTTTAATATGTATGTTGTCTGGTCCAACTTCCTTAATGTTACTCATTCTTTTCAAGTTTCAATTCTTCCTTTACCTCATGTTTTTACATCCAATGGTAGTAGTTATAATTTCGACCCACTTCTCTAATGTCGAGTCTGCTAGATTCCGTGAGATATCATACCCTTTATTAAATAGGTTGAAGAAATACGCTTTCACCTATTCTTTATATCTTTTATGAACCAAGATTTTTCCTTCTTCATCTTTAATGCACTTGATTCAAATCTCCAATCTTTCTTTCTCTTCCCTTAGCAAGCCTATATATAAATTTTTTCTTCTTCCTTGATTCCTAGAGATTGGTATAATTTGTCAAAATCTTGGGTTCTTACTTCAGTTACCGCCTTCTTAGTCTCATTCTTAACTTATATTTTTTTTTCTAAATTTCGGCATTTTTACGCCTACATCAATATTTAAAATATTCATTTTTTACTCTGACTTTACTCTGAACACTTTCATTCCACCATTGTGATTCTTTACCCCTAGTTTCAAAATCTCTTGATTCATCCAACGTCTCTTTAACCACTTTTCTAATATCTTATGCCATCTTATTCCACATATCATTTGCACTTCTTTGTGATTGTCCAAACACTCTCTCTAAAATCTTGAGTTAAAAAATTCATTCTTTTTCATTCTTCAAATACTACCACTTAATCCGCGACGCTATCATATGACTTCTTCTCTTTGCTCCCCATAATTCTTACCTCCATACCTAAAGGGGCAAAAATTGTGCTGTCAAGAGGCTCATCACATCCTCAATAAGCATGCAGACTATTAAAGGCTATCAAATGGTTAGGTGAACTAGAGTGGGATAAAATGTCAATATAGTTGTATTTTAAATCAATGATATAACATTCTTGGCACATCAATTTACCACAATGATTTATGAGCTAATTTTTAGTTGGCACAAAAGTTGCACTTTCTGTATTTATCCTCTTTCATCCCATATCTATCTTAAGTATTTTATCACAGCAAAATTACTCTGAATCCAAGAAGAAACTAATCAACCTAGTGAAAACTGATCCAAAATAAGCTGCTTCTTTCCACACATTTAAAACCATTCAGCAGCTTAAACTTAATCAATTCAAAGAAAGTTAAATCAACACACTAAGATTCAGTGCAAAAAATACACACATATATACAACAAAAACAAGATTAGAAATTATAAGACTTGCAAATGTAAAATGTATACAAAAGCATTCATTAAGACAAGTGACACTAAATTATTACCACCCATCAAGGCAAAGCTAATTCTAAACCTACAATTCATATCTTAATTCTTAAGCCACAGTTCTGTAGACTATTTTACAATTTCATCACCTTCAAAAGAATCATTTTGCACTTCATTATCAAACTATACTTAAATTAGCTTCAGATGCCAAGGAAACAATCATCAATTGCTCAGCACAGTAGACACAAATTCAAATATGATTGAACCACAAGCCTTTGCTTTACATCATTACTGGACCTTTGCAATGCTTCGGCTAGATACACCATGCAATAATTTGACAAACCCGAGAAAGCTTAACTTCCCATCGGTGTGGCGTATCCAGTCATGAAGAACAACATGAACAGGGATAGATGGACCAAGTCCAAGTTCCTAAAAATTTCGAACAAATATTATGATGATTGGTTATAAAGAAAATAATTGTAAATGTGGCATTATGTAATATATCCATAACTATGGCTGAAGTGAAATTAACTTACTGAAGCAAGTTCTTCAATGACAATAGCCCGGTTTCCGTCTTTCTCAAAAAGTTCATATGCACAGCGAGCATGTTGTTCCCAACGATCAAGAGCTTCGAGTTGATGCACACTTAACGCAGCAGCACAAAATTCTTCAAAATCCATTCTTCTATATTGTAATGAAGTCAGCTGTAATAATAAAACAGAAATAGCAGGAACATGTGAGACAAGAAACAGTCAAATTAACAGAATATATAATAACAGAACAAGGTGTTATTACCGAGGAAAGAAAATCAGTGATCCGAGACTCTTTCATGGCATCTGTTGCATATTTCTTCAAGGCCTGCCCAGAAAATAAGAATGAAAAAAACTTATTCCAGCTTACAAAACAATAAACTTCTTACAAGTTGATATGATACGACATAACAATAAACCTTGTTAATGTTCTCTAAGGATATGCTGTCATTTTTGCTTGGTTCCAACAATGCAAACTGTTCCCTCAGATAATAGAGTTCATCGGCAGTTAATGTCTTTGACAAGGCCTGCCAAAGAGACGAGCATAGATTAACGTAATTTTAATAGCAAATTTGTATTGCATTCTAGTGTATTTAGAAGGTATTAAGAAACCAAAACACACACCCTTAAAGCAGCTTTACGCAAAGATGATGATCTCATATAAGTCTTCATAAGCTTGAATATTAATATATCAAGTGGAACTTTTACGTCATTGTAATTACGTATCCAAGGATGACCTACAAAGCACAAGATTATTGCCCGAATCTCAAGAAATGCCCTATTAGAACCTTTTTGATATTATAGGTCACAGAAAACTCACTCAGTGCTTGAGCAGCAGAAATTCGTTTTCGTGGATCCTTATTAAGTAGGCGTTTGACAAAATCTTTTGCTTCTGAAGATAAGGATGGCCAAGGAGCTTCTTCAAAGCCTGGATCAGCTTTCAAAACAGCCCTAAAAATACCCGATTCTGTTCTAGCCCAAAATGGACGACTACCACATAATAGAATATATGCTATCACACCAATACTCCACACATCAGCTTCTGTGCTGTAAGATCTATGAAGAACTTCAGGAGCTACATAGTAAGCACTTCCAACAATGTCGTTAAGCCTCTCATCTGAAGGACGTGATACAAAAAATAAGAAAATTGCTTGATTCACGTGAGGAAAAAGATACTAATACCAGAACCAAGTAAGGATTGTTAAGAAAAACCTGGTCTGACAAAATCTGATAATCCAAAGTCTATAGCTTTTAACTCGGAACTTTCATCTTTTGAAGTGTACAAAAAATTCTGAATGAGAAAATGCAAGTTGGTTGGTTGGACAGACAATAAGCAATCATTTCAGAATTGAAATACTAAATCAATTTAAACTTGATTCATATGATACAAGCAGTAGGGACTCACCTCGGGCTTAAGATCTCGATGCACCACACCCTGAAGATGACAAAATGCAACAACATTTAGTATTTGTACCATGACAGCCTTCGCATCATCTTCCGAGTATTTCCCTCCTCTGAAGAAGCAATAAAACATGTAGCTAGTAAGTGAGAAGGTGCAATTATAAAAGTAAATTTCATTATTGAAGCACGACGCAAAAACAGCCGTGATAACTGTTACGACGCTGCGTTTGGGTGTGGTTACCCACCCCGATGCTGATAACAGCACTATTTCCCACTATTAGCGACATAGAAATTACCTTGACAGTATCATATCTAATAGCTCTCCCCCTTCACATAACCTGAAACGTAAATAGTATCCAGTTACTTATGAAAACGCTAAATAAACAAAAAATATTAATTACTTAATTATTTCTTAAATTGCACGGATGTTTGTCGATTTGATCTACTTAAAAAAAAAAAGCGTCTAATCTACTAGTTGAATTAATGAAATAAAATGTTCATGCAAATTATTTAACAAAGAAAGTTTAAAAAGACTTGTTAGAGGTAGTGAATATAATGTACGTATGTATCGATAAATACATTTCTTAACTAGGATGTGCAAAGCCCTGCAAAATTCAAAACTGAAAAAGGAAACAAATACTCCCAAACTTACTCCATGACAATGTAAACATTTTCTTGGTCTTCAAATGAATCATAGAATTGTACCAAATTGCTGTGCCCGTTCAAAGCTCGCAATATTTTCACCTCTCTTCTTACATCTTCAATTGCAATTGCTGTTGTCATCTGGCACCAAAACATATAAAGATGAATATGTTTTCCATACATGCTTGGTTCACTTTACAAAACTTAAATCCGGTGCAAGAAAACAAAAATAAAACACACCGTGGGTGACAAACATAGAATGAAGAATAGAAAAGTAACAAAATTCTACAAAGTAAAGAACAATATCATCCAAACTCCAAGGCCAATTCAATTGCTATAGTCTTAATTTGTCAAACTTAACTCCAATAAGTTTTATCAACATTAAAGTAACAATTAGATCAAGCTCAGAATAAGAGTATTAAACTATGAAGCACACACACAATCACGGACGTTGGACACGACATTGACACGTTGACACCAGTGATAATTTGAAAAAATGAATTAATTTGATGTAATCACAAGTGTCGATGTCGTGCCTTTATTCAGAGGTGTCGTTGCTACAAAGAAACTCAAAGAGGCTGATCTACCCAATTTTCACCAACAACTCATAAACCAACACTCCATTGCAAGTCCTAGAAAAACATTTCCAAACCATCCTAGACAAATAATCCTCAACATCAAATCCTTAATACCAAGTGAGCAAAACAACCTAAAACATCAAGGATTATCAAGCTAATAGGTGAATAAATCTCCCAAATTAGAAACAACTCCAAGCATATAGCAATATTTCTTAATGTAACAAGTGATTCATCAAGTATCAACATTGAACAAATACAATTTTAGTCATAGATGGTAAAAGAACATGATTAACCTTTGCTTTAGGAATGACTTTTACAGCTACTTGTTGACCCTTATGCTCACCCTTCTTAAACTTAGCAGAACAAGTATACCCAAAATGCCCTCTACCCACTTCTTCTCCAACCTCCAACTTACTAGTAAAATCCTTCGAGAATCCAAATCTCTTGTCCAAATCCCCTGCACCCTCCTCGGAATCTTCCGGTATCGCCGCAGTTTCCTTCTTCCCCTGTCTCCGAGCCAACACAGCCCTTATATGCTTTGCCGGAGAAGGCGGAGGAAAAGGTCTCCGGAAAAACCTCCTTGGCGTCGAGCTCGTACTCCGGCTCGGAGTCGAAGGAGACTTCTTCAGAAAACGAGCCGGACTGGGACTGTAAAACGGAAAAAACGGAGACTTTTTCCCGGCGACGACGTCATCTTTATCTTTCCGGCCATGGCCATCGGCGACGGGACTTAACGGGGTCTTCGGGATTTGCGTTGGGTCAGCTTCCGTTTCTCTAACGGCATATGGGTTGGGTTTCTGCGGCTTCGAAGTGCAACCCCCCATTGTTGAACGATCACAGAAGCTGAAACTGAAACTACTGAATCATTTTTCGTCGCATTGGAGTAACGGTTTTTCTGGGTGTTGCTATTTTCAGCTAAAGATTCGAACTTTGCAGAGAGTTTTGAAGTGGGTAAGAAAAAAAATTGAGATAGGTAGAAGTGGATTTGTTTAGGTGAAGAATACTAGAAGAAGAAGATGAAGATGAAAAGGATTGAAAATCTCACACACGTGACATGCACGTGAGTATTGATTTTTAGGTGTTCATTGAATTTGGGGAGTGGAGAGAAAAGGGTTATGATGATATGATTAAGATGATGATGAAGATGGTGAAGAGAATAGTGAAGATTTGGTGTGAAAATGAAAAAGAGGATTATTGTAATTGTATTGTTGCCACAAATTTGGCTACATATTGTTCCCCTTTTTGACTAGAATGCCGTACAAAGAGAAATACAACTATATAATGGAAGTGAAAATTATGACACCATAAATAAAGAAATCATGTAAGAGATTTCTTTGAGTTTTACATGAGATCATGATTTAAATTTAGTTGTATAGTACATTTTAATAGGTGGTAAATGATGAAATAAAATAAATTTTGTAAATAATAGATGAAGCGACATACCATACTATAAAATTCATTACATTTTAAAATATATACAATAAAATGAGTTAATTTATTTAGTCAAATTATAAAAAATATATAAATAGATTAGTATTTGTCATTGCAAGTAAGGTATATACTCTATTTATAAAAAAATTATAAAGAAAACAAAGGGTGATTGTTATGGTTGTAAGATGAAAGAATACAAAAACTTAAAAACAAAACAATGAAAAGTTTAGGGTAGTTATCATTGAATAAATATATGTGTGTGTAGTTTATTTATTGAGTGGTTAAGAAATAAGATAGTGATGTATAAACTATTGAATAAAGATGGATACCAATATGACTTTCAATTATTTATTGTTTTGTTTTTACTCAACTAGTCATATTGGCTTGAAGTAAGTAAACTCCAATTTTAGAGTATAGCATATTCTTGACTTCATTAACTACTTAGTTATTATAAATGGTTTGGGCTATGCATGCATCATCACTTTTTTTTGGCTTTAATAAGATATCATGCCAAAGTTGTTAATTTGGTACATGCGTCACTATCTTATAAGTGGTTTTATAAGATGAATTTATATATTTAATTTGAATTAGGATCGGTCCAATGTACTAGTATATACGACTTAGGAATTCATATATTATGTACTAGTCAAAATCGGTTTTATAAGATAATCATCACGCGTTGTAAGTATAGAGTTATATTGAGTAGAATAAAGAGTTATTAAATCTACATTTACAGAGATCAAATGACAAGTATTGCTATCTATTGCTTTTATGTATTTGATGTTATGCGAATTTTTTTTAAACGAAAATAATAAATTTAATTAAATATTCAAATAAAAGACGGAACGATGATTTTTGTCTACCAATTTTGCTCATACGAATCACATCACCTAATCATAATGAGAATTATATTTTTGTAGAAAATATTAAATTAATGGTAACACCCACTTTAATCGGCGCGTTATTGGAGTTTAAACCTTCATGGTATCATATTTCGAAGTATGAATTTTAAGTTTAAAAATCTTTTTCAAATTTGAAGTAACTTATCTATTAATTTAGAGACGTTTTCGCAATATTTAAATCAACGGTTTGAATTTCTAAGTCGTATATCGGTTACATCCTTTCGACGCATAAACAATATCTCGACGCTCTTACTTTTGTAGCGAGTCTTCTTTTAAGAATAGAAATATCAAAACATAAACTTATTCAGTCTCTCGATCAATTCCGATCCGTTTTCACATGACCCTCAAAACCTATCGTTCAAATTTATATGTTCGATATCATTTTCTCCCTTTCGGCACATGAACGGTATCTTATTGTTTCTATTTTCATATCAAACATTTTTTTGTTGAAAATAGAAAGTACGAAATAAAAGATTCATTCTCGTTATGATTTACATTTATGCGATTCGTATTAGCTTTTACTGTATGACAATCATCATGTTCCATACTCTAAATAAACTACTCACACATTGTAAACCAGAAAAGCAACACAAACATATAATAAATTCATAATAAAAAGCAATAAAGAATTGAACCTGAAAATAATGGAAAACGACTTTTAAAATTGAACATGCTTCGAAGGGAGACTTTGATTTAAACATACGATAGTTGAAACAAAACCAATAACTCAAAAACTTGAAAAAAAAACTAAATTGCATAAAATCCAAATGTTGAATTTTAAATTAAATATAGTGCAATTATGTGTGGATGCATTTACAATGGATTACATGCCTATTTATATTGAAATTCACCAAATATCCCAAAAATTGTGTGAAATAGTGGGCAAATCGTGTGGAAGTGGGGCTGAAACGTAACTGAAAATGTAGAAAAAATTAGGTATGGATGTCATGATAGGCGTCATGGTGCATGATGGCATATGCCCTTCATGATGTGTGACGCTGAAGTTCTAGAAATTGGATGCATGACGGGGGGTCACTGTGGTTGATGGGCTGACCATTCATGGACTCTAATGCTCGTTTATTGTTTTCCTCTAGGATCTGTGACGACCTGCTCCTTCTGGAGCGTGACAAACATCACGGTGTCCATCACATAATGCATTTTTTTATTTTTCTTTGCTTTTTCTTCATTTCCTTCTGCAATTGACGCCGAACGTTTAGTGCTTGCAATTCAAAGTAAAAAGCCAGCTTATTGAAGTAAAAGGAATATAAAATGTAATACTCATATATAATACATGTTTAGAAATACATATTATACATAGTTATAATATTGGTTCTAAAATACATAAGTGCCTAATGGCAACATTGTACATATTACATGTCCAAAAAGAACTACAACTATGGCACACTATATATACACGGGTGTCTAAAATGAAACTAGGAACTAAATCATTATAGAATGATCTCAAAAGAGATATCTACATAGCGGAAAAGTCATCCAAAACATCAAACAAGCAAGGAAATCAAGTTATCTTGTACTTACCCTTCACCTGCTCAGAATCATCTGAAAATAATCAACAAATATGGGGTGAGATGATAATTCCAGTGGGTTCCCTATCTTATGCGTCCACTCAGCTCTACAAGGTTCTAAGCAAATCCTAACTCAAGTCACAAGGGAAAGAGAGTTTAGTAACAACAACTCATAATGTATGGGAACATGCCTCTTGATTTCATTAACTCAAACAATCACTAATCGGAAACCATACCAAGGTATCGTTCCTCGGCAAGCCTTACATCTAGGGTTATCGACATGGGTCACAAATCCTTGTATCATACTTCGACATACGCATGGACTTTGAATTTTAAGTGATAACATCCACTTCAAGAATCGTCGCTTCCTATGGGACACCAAACCCATTTCAAGCCTTTTACCCGTATGAGACTCTAACCCATTTAGGGATCCACCGCTTTTGGGACTCAAATCTATGTCCAAAGTATTGGTGTGTACATCCCAATTCTTACTCTATATAAGCATCACAACTTGGGATAGCACAATTAGGGGTTGTTTTCGACTACATGATTAGATAAAGTACTACATGATTGTATTCGACAACCATAAGGTGGTCACATTCACCTTAACATTCACAACAACAATACATGTTCCATATAATGCCTAACATTTCTAGCTACATAACTACTTGTCCATGACACACACCCAAATATCATTGTGTACAAGCATTACCATCTAAGTCATTCCTCATAACCTAATTATCTTTCTAATTCATTCGATTAGTTTGCTTCTAAGGTTTCCTCACCAATCATTATAATTTTCCAATCATATTATCACATTCATACATCAATTAATTCATAACATATTCATCATGATATCATGTGTGATATATAGTTGAACTAATGATAATTCCATGCCCACACATCATAGTACAAGTTACATGACCCTTAGGATGACTTAGGAACCTTAGAAAACATGATTTTTTTTTGCTAAAACCAAAGGATACAATCGATTGCACAAAGACTACAATCGATTGCACAAAGACTACAATCGATTGCATCAAAGTCTAAAACTCTATGTTTCTGATTTGGGGGAAATAATTGATTTTCATAGTAGTACAATCGATTGCACTGCCTCAGATTTGTAATTTTTCAATATTTGTGAAGGTGAAATTGATTGTAATACCGTGAAAATCGATTGTCACTGTAAGTTTTGTCAAAAATACCTGCTGAAACATGTTTTTTTTCCATTTTTAACCATCCCCCAACTCATCCAAAAAAACCATCCATAAATCACAAGTTTCTTATGATATAACACACTAATATTCATCATTCTAACAACAACAACATTCACTCATATAGAAACACAACAATTATATCAATTTCTCATGAATAATGGAAGAATGCATAACAACATATCAAGAATCATCAATATCTATTCTATGTTTCATAAAGCCCTAATTTCTAATCTTCTAAGAGCATTAACTAGAACCCACCTTAGTAAGAGATTGAGAGATTGTTGGAAGATGATAAGATGAGCTGATGATTACAAGTTGCTAAGTTCCTCCAAGTTTTTCTTCTTCTTCTTTCCACAAGCTTTATGCTTTTCTCTCTATGTTTCCTTTCTATTTTTTCTTTTTACTAATAGCATATGCAAAATGATACTTAGAGGCATGAAGGGAAACATTGGTCACATAAGTCGTAAAACATGTGGTCAAGAAAATAGAAGGAATTGTGTGGTTGGAAAGTAACAAGAGTAGTAAACAAATATTCCAAGTGACACTACATTTTATTTATTTATTATACTAGAGTAATTGACCCATCATTAATGTTATGAAAATGTCCCTTTTTGTACCAATTAATAAAAGGCCAGTCTCAAATAATATTAATTAAGTCAATATGAATTCATTAGTTACTCTATTTATCCCAACTGATAACTTTCAGAGCACATTAAAACTCAGTTGATCTCAACTGATATGCATTTGA